TAGCTGTGGGTTTATCATAGATGGCACTTACTATTTTGAGGTATATTCCTTCTATACCTATGTGTTTGAGGGTTTTTATCAAGAAGGGATGCTGGATTTTATCAAAAGCTATTCTGCATCTAATGAGATAACCATGTGGTTCTTGTTTTACATCTGTTGATGTGTTTAATTACATTTATGGTCTTGTGAATGTTGAACCAGCCCTGCATCCTGGGGTTGAAGCCTACTTGGTCATGGTGGATGACTTTTGAGATGTTTTTTGGGATCTGATTTGCTGGAATCTTGTTGAGGATTTTTGCATCTGTGTTCATAAGGGAATAATAATTCTAAATGTGGTTAAAGTGGTAAAGTAACAGATGCATCATTTATCCTTTTATAATTTCCAAATTTTGGTAATGTTTTTATGTATATTTTCTGTAATGAAAACATGCTTAAAGTGCATTTATATACATCTGCATACATACTGTGTATATGTATGTATATACACATACAGTATATATTTTTAATATTCCTACTCCATAGACTATGTGCCTTTGTGGGAGAAAAAAACAATGAATAAAGATGTGCTACATCAGGTGGCCAGAAGTGCTAGGAAGACAAAGTAGGATGAAAGAATGACAGCAATTCATTATAGATGCTCAGAGAGCCCTCCTAAGAAGATAGCATTTGAGAACCCTACCAGAATGTGGGGAAAGAACAGTGAGGGCTGCATTCATCCACAGTCAAGGATGTGATGTGTTTGAGGAGAGCCAGGAGTGAGGCTGGTCCATGAGGAGCAAGTGGGAGAGTGGTTAAAAAACAACAACAACAAGGTCAAAAGGGTGGCCATTTAAGCACATATGGACACCTGGATTTTATTCTGCATGTGATAGAAAATGATTGAAGTTGAGTGAGCTGGGAGTCACAAGCCTTGATTTCTAATGATAGAACAATGAGGAGGAGAGCCATTATTAAATCTTTACTTTGGTTATTTATTGAATCCTAATTTTTGTTCTAGCTATTGTGCTAAGGCTTTTTTTTTTTTTTCCTTAGCAATAAGGCATGTTCCTTTCTTTTTTTTTTTTTTCCTGTTTTGATTCGGGGAATACATTTTCAGGTTTGTTACATAAGAATATCGCATGATGGTTGGGCTTCCATTGAGCCTGTCACCCAGGTGGTGGACATGGTGGACATTGAGTCCTTATCCCCTTTCCCTCTTCCACTTTAGGAGTGCCCCAGTGTTTGTTGTTCCCATCCTTGTGCCCGTGTGCATGCAGTGTTTAGTTCCCACTTATGTAGAGAACACATAATATTACATTTTCCATTTCTGTGATAATTCACTCAGAATGATGGTCTCTAACTGCATCCATGTTTCTGCAAAGGACATGATTTTGTTCTTTTTTATAGTTGCATAATATCCCATCATGCATATGTGCCACATTTTCCTTATTGAGTTCATCTATTATGGGCACCTAGGATTGTTCCATGTTTTTGCTATTATGGATAGTGCTGCAATAAGCATGCACATGTAGGTGTCTTTTTAGTAGAGTAATTTAAATATATACCCAGTAGTGGGATTGCTGGTCAAGTGTTCTTTGAGAAATCTCCAAACTGATTTCCACGGGGGTTTGACTAGCTTGTATTCTCACCAACAGTGCAGGATTGTTCCCTTTTGTTCACATCCTTGTCAACATCTCTTGTCTTTCTACTTTCTAATAAAAGCCATCCTGACTGGTGTCAGATGGTATCTGATTGCAGTTTTGATTTGCATTTCTCTGGTGATCTGTGATGTTGAACATTTTTTCATATGTCTGTTGGCCACTTGCATGACTTTCTTTGAGAAGTGGCTATTTATGTCCTTTGCCCACTTTTTAATGGAGTTATTAGTTTTTCTCCTGTTGATTTGTTTGAGTTCTTTGTAGATTCTGAATATTAGACCCTTGTTGGATGCACAGTTTGCAAATATTTTCTCCCATTCTGTAGGTTGCCTGTTAACTCAATTGATGATTTCTTATGCTGTACAGAAGCTCATGAGTTTTATTAGGTTCCTTTTGCCAATTTTGTCTTTTGCTGCTTTTGTTTTTGAGGTCTTGGTAATGAATTCATTGCCTAGGTGTGTTTCTTATGCTTTCTTCTAGAATTTTTATAATTTGAGATTTTACATTTAAGTCATTAATCCATCTTGAGTTAATTTTTTTACATGATGAGAGAAAGGGGTCCAGCTTCATTCGTCTGCGCATGTTTAGTGTGTTAAGACTTTCAACAGTTTATCACATTTAGTTGTTGCAAGGGTGCAGAGATTTTGCAGTTTAATTGAGACATTTGTGCCTCAGTTTCCCACCCAAATGTCTGTTCCTCCCTTAACTGCATCATTCCTTCTCTATTTCATGTGAACCAAGAGACATGTTGACCTTTTATGCACAGTCTAGTAAATTATGTTTGTTCACTTATTCACACAACACAGAGAATACTGGATTTAGAAAGGTGAATAAGTCATGCTCCCTGAACCCCAGAAACCTCTAACAAGTTTACTCACCAATATTTTAATTAATTATTTCTACCTGCCAGAGTATTCAAGTAGTTAAAGACACAAATTAGAATTTTTTGCCAAGTCACTGAACATTCTGGGATAGAGGCTATTTTAATTCTAACCTGTGAAAACTGACAGTTTCCCACAAGCTACATAAAAGACAAAACTGGAAGTCTGCTTTATCATATAAATGATTACTAATTAATAGAAATAGTGTGGTTTTTATTTCCAATTGGCATATTACATACATTGTATTAGATAATGATTATTCAATTGCTAACATTTGAACTGTTTGTGAATTTTAATCTCATAGATGAAGTTATTTGTAGACAAGCAATTGCTTTATCAGCATTTTACTAACAGGTAACCATTAAGCATGGCATGGTTTTATGCAAGGTCAAGGAACTTGATTTTGTTTGGAAAACCAACAAATGGCAACAAGGATCAATTCGAGAACTAAAGTACAATGAAAGTGCATATGATGCTTTTGTTTAATATTTAAATCATTCTGTTGTCTTACCAGACTATTTGTTCTTCTATTGACTGTCACTGGTATCATGTGGGTCCCACTGGTACAGGTATCTCAAAGTGGACAACTAATTCATTACACAGAATCAATTTCTAGTTATCTTGGGCCTCCAATTGCAGCTGTCTTCCTGCTTGCTATCATCTGTAAAAGAGTCAATGAACAGGTAAGTGAAAACTGGAAAACATATCCCTTGCTCAAGTGAGAAAACTTGTTTCCTTCACTAAGGGTGTCAAAATGTTATTCTTTTTTCTATCCTATTTGTAAAATCATGGCACATCTCAATTTCAGCTGAGATCAGCCACAATTCCTGATCCTTACTTAAATATAAAAATATAGTGCACATTCACAGTAAAGTCTTTCTATTTCTTACAGAACATTATGTATATACATGCACAGTGCTGAGGTACATGTTTCCATCTGATTAACTTCTCAGAGAAAGTAAATACTTTCAATTGTCAAGAGCTTAATAGAATGCTCAAAACTACCTAACATCAACTCTTCAAATTGTGTAACATAATTCTTAGTTCTGTTTATTCTAAAAAATAAATTGCAAATTTTTTAATCTATCTATAAACTAAGAGTCAAAGAAAACTAGTTTGGGGCAGTGTAGACAGTAGTGACCTGGAATTGGTGAATCAGCAATGTAGTGGTATTTCAACAACATCCCACGGTTATACACATTCATAACTTTCTCTGCTTTGGTAACCCTGTGCTCAATGTTAGCCAGTTGTTGGTCTTTAGTTGAGAAAGCAGGCAGAAGAATTATGACTTACTTGAATAGCTTCTCAACTTTACTAAACACTTCAATTTTGTTCTTGTTTTCTGTAGGGAGCGTTCTGGGGTCTAATCATTGGACTTGTGATGGGCCTTATTCGAATAATTGCAGAGTTTGTCTATGGAACAGGGAGTTGCTTGGCTGCCAGTGACTGTCCCAAGATTATCTGTGGAGTACACTACCTGTACTTTGCCATCATTCTCTTTTTTGGGTCCATACTGGCCATCCTGGGAATTTCCCTCTTAACCAAACCCATTCCTGATGTACATGTGAGTAATGATGAGTAAGAGATAATATGCTTCTTTGCCTTCTAAAGCTGTTGCTACTGTACAGATTCCAGGCAATGTATTTGTTGCATCACTAGAGTGACCTAAAACATTATCATTCAGTCATTCAAATAAACAATAATTTGCACCTAGTATATGCAAACCACCAGTGAATTAGGAACCAAGGGGTTAGGAAATTGGTGTCATATTTTAAAAACTTAACAATGTAGTTGGAAGGTAAATTTACACCATTGTTATAGAATACTAGGAAGAGAATAATTAGTGTTGCCTAAGAGACTGGGAAAGATTTCACAGCAGAGCTGTCATCTGGACTGTCTCTGTTTGGGGAGAGTAGAATTTCATACACAATAGAAACATTGGCACAGAGACTGAGAGGGAGGGGAGACACATGCTACTGGGGAACAGGAAATGAAAAACAGTGAGATGCATTTTCTACCTTTCAAAACAGCCAACATTTAATATGAACACTGCCTAGCGCTGGTGAGAAGATAGGGAAATGCCCACAGTCCAGAATTGTTTGGTGAGTGTATAAATTTATAATTTGTAAGAGGACAATTTATCGATTTTAAAATTCTCATACCTTATGACTCAAAAATCCCATTTTTAAGAACTTTTTATATAGAAATACTTGTGCAAGTGGTAAAAACATATAAGTATTTTTTCTGCAAAAGTTTTCAAATAGACAAAAATTGGAAAAATTCAAGTTTCATCATGAAGGTAATAAGTACACAATAATAGTGCACTGACTATTGTGCAGCTGGTTAAAAACTTGAGGTAAGGTGGTGGTGAGGGGGAGGCAGAGGGAGGAGGAGAAGGAGGCCCCTTCGCGGCCTTCACCGCCGCCAACAGGGCTGTCCCTGTAGCTCCCGATGGAGTTTGAGATAGTCAAACCGCTGCCGAGCTCTGCCCCGGCGAGACTAGGCGCCTCTGTCGCCAAGCCATGCCATCGCGGGGCTCCCGGGAGCGGCCCTTAGCGACCCCACCCGGGCCCCTTCAGCTTGCAAAACACTACACAACAAAATAATGATCTGCTAGACTGCTAACCCAAGCATCCAGCTTCCTCAATGCCTGTGCAGGCAGCTCAAGGGACAGAATTTCTGTCCTGTCCAATCTGCTATAATGAATTTGATGAGAATATGCACAAATCCATCAGTTTAGGTTGTTCACACACTGTTTGCAAAACCTGCTTGAATAAATTTCATCGAAAAGCTTGTCCTTTTGACCAGACTGCCATCAATATAGACATTGATGTGCTTCCTGTCAACTTAGCACTTCTCCAGTTATGGGAGCCCAGGTGAGGAAGAAGATGAAATTCTGTACATCATGCACTACATATTAAAGTAAGAACATACCAGATCATCAGTCAATAAAGTTAAGTAATCTAGGTGAGAATATACACTATGAGGTTGCAAAGAAATGTATTGAGGATTTAGCACTCTACTTAAAACTGCTAAGTGGAGGTAAAAGTGTAGCTAGTTTGAGCCAGAGTGCACTGAGCCGTCCAAAGCAAAGGAAACTTGTGACACTTGTAAACTGTCAACTGATGGAAGAAGAAGGTGGTGTAAGAGCCATGCAAGCAGCCCGCTCACTTGGAGAAAGAACTGTAACAGAATTGATATTACAGTACCAGAACCCTCAGCAATTGTCTGCCAATCTATGGGCCGCAGTCAGGGCTCGAGAATGCCAGTTTCTAGGGCCATGTAAAATAGATCACTATCTTAACTTTTTTATTAGCTATTTGGGCTTGAGGGTATCAGTTTCTAGAGCTAGGTAAAAATTCTTAGACTCAACTCATCTTTATTTATACAATAAGTCTCTTACATATGAACGAGTTCCATTCTGAGAGCACGTTTGTAAGTCCAATTTGTTCGTAAGTCTAACAAAGTTAGCCTAGGTACCAAACTAACACATTTGGCTATGTAGTACTGTACTGTATAGGTTTATAATACATTTCATATAACTAATACATAAAAAGACTGGGCTTGGCACCTAGGCCTGCAGTCCCAGAACTTTGGGAGGTGAGTGGATTGCCTGAACCCATGGGTTTGAGACCAGTCCGGGCAACTTGGCGAGACCTCGTCTCTATAATAAATAAATAAATAATTAGCCAGGCTTGGTAGCTGGCACCTGTAGTTCTGGCTACTTGGAAGGCTGAGGCAGAAAGATCGCCAAGCCCAGCAAGTTGAGGTTGTGGCCTGGGTGACAGAGTGAGACTCCAACTTAAAAAAAAATACAGTACTGTACAGTAAAGTACATAAAAGCACAGCCACTTGTACAGGATGCATGCACATGAACATGTACACCAGACACGTGAACTAACGTATATAATTGGACATCGAAATGTATGTTTGCATCTTTGAAAGTTCTCAGCTTGAAGGTTTGTGTATAGGGGACGTATGGTATTTACAAATCTTGACATAAATAAAGATGAATCAGTTTTTGTTACTCATAATCTAAGTCAGAGGTCCCTAACCCCTAGGCCAAGTTAAATTAGGAACTGTGCAGCAAAGCAGGAGATGAGTTGTGGGAGGGGGAGATGGAGGTGGGCAGCTTTGCCTTCTGTCAGATCAGTGAGGGCATTAGATTCTTACAGGAGCACAAACCTTATTGTGAACTGCACATGCAAAGGATCTAGGTTGCATGTTCCTTAGGAAAATCTAATGCCTGATGATTCCCCCCTACCCCATCCCACCCCTGCCTATGAAAAAATTGCCTTCCACAACACCGCTCCCTGATGCCAAAAATGTTGGGGACCACTGATTTTTTGTTATAGACAGTGCTTCAGTGTTTTAGAACAAATTGTTTTGTCTGGGCACAGTGGCTAATGCTTCTAATCCCAGCAATCTGGGAAGCCAAGGTGAGAGGATTGCTTGAGTCAAGAAGTTTCTCGCTTGAGCCAGGATTTCGAAATCAGCCTAGGCAACATAGTGAGACCTCACCTCTACAAAAAAATTTTTTAAATTAGCCAGGCATGCACTTGTAGTCCCAGATTCTCTGGAGGCCGAGGAAGGAGAATCACCTAAGCCCAGGAGGTCAAGGCTGTGGTGAGTGGTAATTATGCCACTGCACTCCAGAAGCAAAAGGCTGGGCATGGTGACTAATGCCTGTAATCCTAACACTTTGGGAGGCTAAGGTGGGAGAATCCCTGGAGCCCAGGAGTTCAAAACCAACCTGGACATCATGGTGAGAACTCGTCTTTACAAAAAATAAAAAATTAGACATGTGTGGTAGTACATACCTGTAGTCCCAGCAACTTGGGAGGCTGAGGCAGAAGGATTGCTTGAGCCCAGGAATTAGAGGTTGCAGCAACCCAAAGTTGTGCCACTGCACTCCAGCCTGGGTGACAGAGTGAGACCCTGTCTCAAAAAATAAATAATTTTTTTCTTTTGCAAGTTTCAAGATCTGTCAACAGAGGTAACAATGCTATAATTTTACAAATTAGAAAACTGAATTAGAGGCCTAAGATTGCACAGGTACTAAATAAAAGAGTGGGAATCCTTTTTGTGTGTGTGTCTAAAAAACAAATAAAATACTCTTGATTGCTTTTAAAACTTAATAAAAAAATTAAAACCACCAAGGGATAATTTTTAAAAAACAGGCCGGGCTCAGTGGCTCAGCCTGTAATCCTACGCCTTTGGGAGGCTGAGTGAATTGCCTGAGCCCGCGGGTTCGAGACTCACCTGGGCAGCGAGACCTCATCTCTACAATAAATCAAAAAATCAGCCGGGCGTGGTAGAGCATGCCTGTAATTCCGGCTACTTGGAAGGCTGAGGCGATAGGATCGCTGGAGCCCAGTAGGTCGAGGCTGCAGTGGCCGGGAGCAGCCAACTGCACTCCAGTCTGGGCGACAGAGTGAGACTCCAACTCAAAAAAAAAAAAAAACAAGAGGTAATTTTATTTGCTTTGAAAAGTGTTCATAATATGGTCAAGTAAAAAATGCGCAGAATAATAAATAGTATAGTATTGTGCATAATATATAAATGGCACTTTCTAAAATAAAATACATATAGGATATAAATGTTTATCTAAACACAGAAAAATTCTTAAAACATACACACCTGAAATTTTCTTTTTTTTTCCTCTCTTTTAATTTTTTTTATTTTAAAGATGTGGGGTACAGTTCAGAGTTAGGTATACAAATGTTGATTATTCAGGTACCCTTGATGAAATGTGCCCCCCCTACCCTGGCAGATTCCCACTACTGCCAGTCCCGCCATCCCTCCCCACCTCCCAGCAGTTTCCCGCTGCTGCCAATCCTTTTCTTATAGTATTGTGATAATTTTTCAAGGTCCACTTATGAGTGAGAACATGTGATACTCAGTTATTTGTTGCTGTGATACATCACTCAGTATTACAGACTCTAAGTTCATCCAGGTTTCTGTGAAGTTCATGATTTTGTCCTTTTTGTGGCTGTGTAATATTTCATCATGCACCTGAAATTTTCAAGAAGAGGTTATCTCAAGGAGCAGGCAGGACACTATAGGAATCCAACAAATATTAATCATTCTCAAAATGCAAATACTGCTTATATACTAATGTTATTTGAATTCATTGCTAACATGTATAACTTTTATGTCTTTTGCATTTATCACTCCTTTTTTGAAGCAATGTTTAATTATATATTTCCTTGAGGATTGACCAGTAGATTATGTGTGACTGGGCTGAAGCACAGAGCAGTTCCAATTACTTTACCAAAGACATGTCATCAAAACTCATAACTAAATATTTATGCTGATATTGAGAATTTATTGAAAGAATACTAGAAAACATATAATAGTTTTCAAAGAAATATAAATATTAAATTATTTTCTTTCAATAGAAATAACCATAATTTATTATTTATTTTAAAAAATTTTTTGTCTGAAGGACAGTGAGACCATTTCTCTAACTTATGTGTATGTTTCGTTAGTATATTGCAAGTTTTGAACTTTCAAAATGGACTAATAAATATCAGTAGTTATTTCAAAGAAAGTCATGTAAAATGTTGTGTACCTAACCTAACAGTTAAGAAATAAGATATCCTAGGATGATAGGTCTTTAGCAAAACTAGAAAGTACTTGGTCCACATTAAACAGAAATTTAAGGAGTCCCAAGGAGAGAATTTGAACAAAGTGGATTTAATATAAGAAATGCCATGAGTAAGAGCTTGTGAAGCTACAATTAGGAATCTTAGTGAAGAGGTGAAAGCATATATTTGTTATGTCAAGAAAATTAAAAGTCAATTACAAATCCTAGCAAAACTGTACAGGAAAGTCATGGGCAAATTAAAATGAGACACAATTTTGAGAATACGCTGGATTCGAAATTTTAAAACCCATTGATACTTGCAGCAATTTCCTTAGCGTTGGTATTGGAGCGCTTTCCTTAGGGCTGGTATATATATATTTGGGATTTTTTTGAGTTGGAGTCTCACTCTGTCACCCAGACTGGAGTACAGTGACACACTCCTGGCCACCGCAGCCTCAACCTGCTGGGCTCTGGTGATCCTTCCACCTCAGCCTTCCAAGTAGCCGGAACTACAGACGCACACTACCATGCCCGGCTACTTTTTATTTTATTGTAGAGATGAGGTCTTGCCAAGTTGCCTGGGCTGGTCTCGAACCCGTAGACTCAGACAATCCACTCGCCTTGGCCTTCCAAAGTGCTGCGATTACAGACTGAGCCACCAAGTCCGGCCTGGGCTGGTTTATATTTATTGTGTAAAATTGTATGTCTTGGATCTGTAGCAACAAATAAAGTACATAGTAGCCTAAATGCCATTTATTTTCAAATTATTCAAACAACACACAAACTGAGCATTGAAATCTTAATTATATTTACAGAAAGCAATTACACTTCTGTGAAGCTTAAAAGTTTAAAATATTGGTATAGCTGACGGAAGTTTGGAGGTGGGTTAGGAAGAGGGATACATAAAGGTATTAATTGCAACTGGAACTCATGAATAGTGCCTAAATACTATTTAAACATGATGGATCCAGAAATGGAACTTAAGAAGATTTTTTTTTAAGTTATTAAAGTAACCACTAGGCAAACTGAAAGAAATAATGATGTAGCTAATAACAGTTGGAGGATAAAGAAAATGAATGAAATGGAGTACAGTGTAGGTTAGCCAAATCTTTAACTTTTCTGAAATTATGAATCCAGAGGTAAGTGTTTTAAGCATACTATTTGGAATTCTGAATAACAGCCAGAAGAATTAAAAACAGAAATAATTTTAAATGGGTACTGTGTTTTGGTGAATGAATGTAGTAGAGACCTTTTTTTTGTGATTTATATTCTCCTGTACAGTTTGATTTTTTTTAAAGCCATATAACAATCAAAAGTATAAATATTTGCCCCTCACTAATGTACTTGTGTATGGCCCCTCCTCAGCTGTATCGCCTGTGCTGGTCTCTTCGGAACAGTACAGAGGAACGTATTGATTTAGATGCAGAAGAGAAAAGTCGAGAAGAAACTGCTGATGGTGTTAAAGAAGGTAATATCTGGTCTACATTTGGTTTTCATGTAAGAACTCGCAGTTCAGTGGCTTTCTTTTAATGCCACTAATTCAACTTCTGCAAAAGCATGTTAGATTGTGGCAAACTGAAACCTTAAAATCTTACCTTTCCAACAACCAAAACAACATATGAAATCCATCTATTCATCCACCTGTTCATCAATCGGTCTGTCTACCCATCATCAATCCATAGTTACTGAGAGAACAATCAGTTACAAACTCTAGTCTCCTGTTCCTAGTTACATATTCAATGTTCAGTCTTGATTCACTATGATTAAACATCTAGCTCACCTCCTCCCCAACCTTATTTCTCACTATTCTCTCCAGTATACCCTCCATTGCAGGCAGGCAGTTTTTTTCACTTTTCCCTGCATACACAAAACTGACTAGAGTATTTCTACCTCCATTCCAAGAGGGAAAAAAATGCCTGCTCTTTCAAACTAAATTGCAGTCTCACTTCCTTCATGAAAATTTATCTAGCATCCATCTTCATGGCTCTTTGCCTAATGTGTTTAAAACCACTGATAAAGTTTAGCACTTCACAATATGTTGTCTTAAACTCTACACTAGTTGTTTTGTTTTGGTTTTGGTTCTTCAATCAGAAGGAAGAGTCAGTGCCTTCTACTCCTTTTGATTTTTTTGTATCAGTGCTCCTGAGGACTACTGACTTATAATTTTATTTTTTGGTATTTAGTCTTTGTGGTTTGAGTATTAGGATTATAGTGCTCTTGTAGAATGAATCAGAAAGTAGCTCATTTTTCATTCAAATGTCTTTGTTTTGTTTCCATAAGATTGAAATAGTGTCTTCACTGAAATTTGGATTTTGCCAATAATACCATTGTGGCTGTGTGTAGGAGAGAAAAGGAGGGATGGAGAGAGGGAGAGAGAGATAGACAGAGGGGCACTTCTTAACTACTGATTAAATTTATATAATGGCCAGCTACTTAGAGTTTCCATTTTTTCATTAATCATTTTTGGAAAATTATAAATTTATATGACTGTGTTTATTTAGTACACATTTAAAATATATTAGCATAAAGTTATTCATAGTATCCATCTCTGCCACCTCTGTAGTTATGTTTTCCTTTTAATTTTTAATATAACTTTTGTGATTTCTCTTTTTTCTTAATAAATCTTACTAAAGACTTGTCTAGTTTACTTTTCTCAGAGAATCAACTTTTGGCTGTTATTTCTGTTATTATCCTTCTTTTATATTTCACTATTTTCTGTTTTCATTTGTGTTCCCTTCCATTTATATTATTTGGGTCTATTCTATTGTTTCTCTTTTCCAATTTAAGTTAGTTATTACTTCACTGGTTTCCAGAAAAAATTTAGAAAATTGATTTTTTCTTTTCTAATGTAAATAACTAAGCTCACATACATTTCCCTCAAAGTAATACTTTTGTTGTATCTCACAGATTTAATTTTTATAATTTTCATTATCATTTATTTCTAAAACTAATTTTATTCCTAAAAATAAAGTCTTACTTTCATTAGGTTCATAAACACTTAAATTTAGGAATATGTTTTACATTTTTCAATGCTGAAATAGCCTTACATATAAGCCTTTTTGTATTTTTGCCAGTATACATTTTGGATAAGTTTTAGGAAGTTTGATTGATGGGTCCAAGAATTAATGTCTATGGAATTTTTCCGTCTACTTCCTGATTTCCTTCTATAGGATTTGACTTTCCCCACATCAATGCATAAGAAGGACTGTTTCCACACAAAATCACTAACAGTATATTGTGAAACTATTGAATTGTTGCCACGGATAGATGAGAATTAGTGTCTCGGTATAGTTTTAGTTCAAATTTCTCTTTTTTGAGTGAGCTTAGAAACCATTTGCCTCTTTCATTCAACTGTTTTTTTTCATCTCTCTGATGTGTATACATGGATTGTTGCTTTTTTCTCTATTTTTAGAAGTCCATTATATATTAAGGATATTAAACTTTTTGCAGTATAACATGCAAATATTTCCCCTATTTTATCCCTTATTTTTACTTTTTTTACTTAACTTTATGCCGTGCAAATGTTTTACATTTGTATATGATCAAGTTTATCTACTCTCAGGGATTCCTCTGACACAAGTGATTGTAATTATTTTATAATCATCTGTACTATACTGACAAGGATTTCTACTTCCCATCTTTTGTGATCTTTTGTTTATCTTTTTTGTTTCAGATTATCCTGAGCAATCTCGTGGATGTCTCAAGAAGACTTATGACTTATTCTGCGGTTTGCAGACAACAGAACCCAAGCTGACCAAGGAGGAGGAGGAAGCCCTGAAGAAGAAGTTGACAGACACCTCTGAGAGGCCCTTATGGAGGACTATAGTGAACATCAATGCCATCCTCCTCCTGGTCGTGGTGGTCTTTGTTCACGGCTATTATGCCTGAACTCTATCTGAGCCACTAGACTAATTAATAATTATAATAATTAAGCAAATAGTAATTTACTGATTTCAATTTATAGTTTGTTGTATTGCAAAGGGGAGATAAACAGTTGGTAATTTTATTTAATGAGATGACTATACACTTGATTTTTTGTTTTTGTTGTTTCTCTGTGTCATTAAAAAAGCATTGATAATTTATAATATGAGTGAAGTAAACTTAGATGTCCTTAAACTAGATATATAGGTCTAAATAATGTTTTCCAGCTTTATTGTGGTATAATTAACAAATAAAAATTGTATAGATTTAAAGTATACAATGTTATGATTTGATATATGTATGCATTGTCAAACTATTACAAGTTTGTTGGGTTTCTTTGTGGTAATCATTTTCTTAATTTTACTCATATCCTTACCATTTACACAAGTATTCTACAACACAGTAGCTTAGTTTTGCCTATTTTAAAACTGAGTATCAGTCAAATATGTTTAGATGTGTTTCTTTTTTTTTATTAATCAGTATTTTTTATTATGGTTTTGTGGGGTACAGTTAAGGGTTAGGTGTACAATTACATTTCATTCAGGCACCCTGTTGATAAGAGGTATTTTCCCATCCCCAGATGATTTTTACATTTATTGATTTTTACATTCCTCTATTCTTTTTATTTTTATTTTTTTATTATGAAGTTGTGGAGTACAGTTAAGGGTTAGGTATACAATTGTGTTTCATTCAGGCACCCTGTTGATATGGGGTGTTTCCCCGCTCCCAGACAGATATTTGCTACTGTTAATCTCATCCCCCTCCCCCCCATAGTTTCCCAGTACCGTCAGTCATTTTATTATGGTATTACATTGGATGTCAAAGGTCCATTATATGAGTGAGAACATGTGATATTCAGATCTTTGTTTCTGTGAGAGGACGCTCAGTATTATAGACTCTAGTTCCATCCAGGTTGCTGCGAAATTCATGATTTTGTTCTTTTTTGTGGCTGCGTAGTATTCCATCGTGTATATGTACCACATTTTTTTAATCCAGTCCTCTTTTGATGGGCACCATGGTTGTTTCCAGGTTCTGGCTATTGTGAACAACGCTGCAATAAACATACGTGTGCATGTATCTTTTTTATAGAGTGATTTGTGTTCTTCAGGGTATATCCCCAGTAGGGGGATTGCAGGGTCATATGGAAGGTCAATTTTTAGAGCTTTTAGGAATCACCACACTGCTTTCCACAGAGGTTTCACTAGTTTACACTCCCACCAACAGTGTAGAAGTGTTCCCTTTTCCCCACACCCTCTCCAGCAGCTGTTATTTTTTGACTTGTTAATAATTGCCAT